TGTCATGTAAAGCAAGAAGACAGGATGGTCATCCCTGATATGGAATGGTCACATAAATTTTCAATATGTGATGTCCATAGGATTTGTGAAATACTGACAAATACTGAAAACATATCATGATGAGGAAGCTAGGTGCAATGGAATACTTTTGCTTCAGTACCTAGTAACCAGATATTCCACTACTTCTCTTCTGCACCCTATGAGTACCATCTAAGATCTGTGAAACTGATGTACTAGCTAAACAAGAAAATTGACATTGAAAGTGATGAGAGGGCAAGTAATCCTTGCTGTAATGAGTTAGATTCATCATTAAGATTTTGAGCATCTTGAGCTTACAATGAGGTTTCATTTAAAGAAATACTTTCAAGCAATTCTCCTTTTTTTACTTCCTCATAAATTATTTATTTTTAGTATAGGTTTGAGAACTAACATTATTTAAAGATGATGGATTTGATGAATAAGTGAAATAAGTGAGTTGGTCTGATAAACAAAAGGAAAAACAGATTTATCTCCAGTTCAGGATTTATTCACCTAATTAATTATTTTCTTGCAAGAAACCTCTCCTATTAAAGCTGTGTCAACTTCAAAAAAAGGTTCTTCTATGCCATTGATGAATTGAATAGAATTGGTGTAATACAAATGTGTCCAGAGTCACATTGTCATATTTTTCTGTTTAATAATATTTTCAAGGAAGACAAATTATCATCAACTCTTGTTACAAATTGAAGCTGACTACCATTTGACATTTCAATGAATATAAATTTTATTTTTAATTAATTATGACAAAAACATTTCATCATGTATCATTTAATCATGACATATCAATAACTCATTTTTGACATTCAACTTTAGTAATTGTCAATTATTCATCATTTATCATTCTATTTTATTTTATTTTATTGGACAAAATCATGTTATTTGTAATACTTTAAGAAGTATAAATATTTTTGAAATCTCCTTTAGTGAAAAAAAAATTAATCAATAAAAATAAATAATTGATCTTTCAATAATAACACTTTGGTAATAAAAATAACACTTTTCATTAATTGATAAATCTAGCATGATTGATTGATTTATAACCCTTTCTGATGATTAATGGTTTGGCCAACATTTAATTATTAGTTAGACCCTTTTATTAGTTTTATTATATTGCTTGTAGGGACCCCTCAAGTAGTGTAGTTGGATATTTCAGTTTAGTTTGAACATTATTATGCCAGATTTAATGATTCTGCAATAGAGTTGAGTTTTTATTTGTAATAAAATTTTTGTTTGAATTATTCAAATCATTTGTTTATTATTTGAATATCATAATTCGTTTATTGAATTGACATCATTCATTTATTATTCGAATTGACATCATCATTCATTTATCATTCAAATTGACATCATTCATTTATTATTATTATTTGAATTGACATCATTTGTTTATTATTCAAATTGACATCATTCATTTATCATTTGAATTGACATCATTCATTTATTCAAATATTTGTTTTTCTTGAATTATTTGTTTTATTTCATTTATTCAAATTGTTTATTCAAACTATTTGTTTATATGTTTATTCAAATTATTCGAATTATTATTATTTGTTTATTTGTTTTATTTAAATTATCAATTGAATTATTTATTTTATTTATTTATTTGAATTATTCGTTCATTCATTTTATTTGAATTATCAAATTATCAAATTATTCATTATTTATTTTATTTGAATAAACTTTCAATGTAATTCAAATACTCAAATTCATAATAAGCAAAAACCAAATTAACCAAATTTTAGAAGACAAACTATTAACCAAAATCACTAAATTATGGACTCGAATGAACCAAATCAAGTCAATAACGAACAAAAGATTAAGAAATAGAGTGAAAAATATGGATAATGAGTAAAACAAATAATTCAAATAAACCCTTATTCAAATAGAAGCCCTAATCAAGCAGTATAGTTGTATGTAGTGATTTTAGTTTAGTTTTCCAGATTTGGTGACTCCAACAACACAGATCACATGCTTGCAATATTTTATTACAGTTTTATGACTTTAGGGTGTCAATGCTGAATTGTTGTAGTTCAGATAAAATTTAATTTTTTTTTTATATAAATCTAATATTAATTAATATATTTTTGTGATACATATTTGTGGCTGAAAAAAAAATTCTTTAAAAAAAAATTTTTTTTTTACAAATATACAAAAACCACAATGGAAAACATTTCAAATGAAAATAAACATCATGACAATACTTCTACTGACAAAAATGATGAATATTCTGATGAAAGACATGGAAGGTATGGGGAATGTCTAACATGCAATAGATATAATACTAATTATTTATGGTGTAAATCATGTGATCCAAAGTTATTAACTGAAGGATGGACTAGTGGCAATGAAACATTAGATGAGTTGATTAAAAGTACACAACTTAAAGCAACTGAGTATTGGAATAATTGTTATCTTCAATGGATTCCTTATAATGATTTAACAAATATTGGAAAGATAGGTGAAGGTGGTTTTGCAACTATATCCAAAGCTACTTGGTTAAATGGTGATAAATATTTAAATATTGGACATAAAAAAATTATTAATGATAGGAATGTGGCATTAAAAAAAACTACATAATTCACAGAATATTTCAGATGAATTTCTTAATGAGGTAAATTATTTTATTTTTTTATTTATTCCTGATTTTAAATATTATTCTGAAATTCAATGTATTTTTTTTATATAGTTTAGAAATCATGTTACATTTTATGGTGAATCTTTTATAAATAAAATTTATGGATTAACACAAGATCCAGCTACAAAAGAATATATCTTTGTAATGCATTACATGGGAGATGGAGGTCTTCAAGATTACAAAGATCCATATATTAGAAAAGAAAAATATGGGGAATGTCCAACATGCAATAGATATAATACTGATTATTCATGGTGTCAATCATGTGATCCAAAGCTATTAACTGAAGGATGGACTAGTGGCAATGAAAAATTAGATGAGTTGATTAAAAGTACACAACTTAAAGCAACTTGGTATCATTATAGTAATCATCTTCAATGGGTTCATTATAATGATTTAACAAATATTGAAAAGATAGGTGAAGGTGGGTTTGCAACTATATCCAAAGCTACTTGGTTAAATGGTTATAAAAATATTGTTGAAAATAAAAGATATAATGAAGATATGACTGTGGCATTAAAAAAACTACATAATTCACAGAATACACTCACCTGCCAAAAGTATCCGGATACTTTTGGCAGGTGAGTGTATTCTGATGAATTTCTTAATGAGGTAAATTATTTTATTTTTCTATTAATTTCAGATTTTTTAGATATTATCAATTATTATTGTTGTAATTAAATAATTTATTTTTATTTTAGTTCAAAAATTATATAAATTTTCATGACAAAAGTGATATTATTCATATTTATGGATTAGCACAATATCCAATTACAAAAGAATGTATATTTGTAATGACATATATGGAAGATGGAAGTCTTCAAAATTATTTAACAAAAGATTTTAAAAATTTAAAATGGGAAAACAAAATTAAAATTCTTTATTTTATTATTAAAGGTTTAAGAGGTATTCATGAAAAAGAAATTATTCATCATGACTTTCATAGTGGTAATATTCTTCAAAAAAACAAATGGGATTCATATATTGCAGACTTAGGATTATCATGCCCAGCTAGTCAAACATCATCATCAAACAAAAATGATATATGTGGAGTATTACCATATATTGCACCAGAAGTTTTAAATGAGAAACCATATACAATGGCATCAGATGTATACAGTTTTGGAGTTTTGATGTCTGTAGTATCAACTGGTCAACAACCATTTAATAATTTGGCACATGATGAATATCTTGCAATAAAAATATGTAAAGGTGTAAGACCTGGATTCTCAAACAATACACCAAACTTCTATATTGAACTAGCATTCAAATGCATGGATGCTAATCCAGATAAACGCCCAACTGCTGAAGAGATTTATGAGATTATTGATGATTGGAATAGTTCACTTCAACATTATAAGTCAGGTGATAAATATGAATCAATTAGAAAAGAGTTTAAGAAAATGGATGAAATAAAATTTGATCCTTCAACAATTACTACAGTAATTCATCCAAATGCAATTTATACTAGCAGATTATTAAAATTTATAAACCTTCCCCAACCTGTGAATTCCAATAAAGTAACAATTATTAGTAACAACAATGGTAATTATTAATTATTCAATCATTGATTATTTTCATTTTTATTAATTTTTAAAATTAACAATATTATCATATTTATAGTTTCTCATTTAATGGATATAAATATTTAGATTAATTTGATTATTTATATTTAATAATGATATTATATAAAGCTAATAATTTCCCACAAGTATCATATCCTCCCATGCAAATGCTCTAACATTTTTTAATTTATACGTATTAGTTGATCGTCGTAATCATGTATTAATAACAACAATTGTAATAATCGAAATTGTTTTAAATATGGCTCTAGTGAGCAACTTTCTAGAGAGTGCGTACATCATAATTAAGATAAACTTCCAAAAATCAAAAATTAAAAACAATTATTAAAATTTTTATTAGTTATATCAATGAATTTAGCATATTTAATATATTTTTTTATATAATAATAATAATTATCAATTATTGTTCCAACTCTTAATTATTACAATAATTAGCAAGATGTTCAGAAGATCCACATTTAAAACATCTTTTTGTTCCATGACCTTCAAATCGATTATTATTATCTCTATACCGATCTCTTGGTATTTGTTGTTTATGTGGTGGTGAGTCAGTGCAATATCGAGAAAGATGTTCTGGAGACCCACATTTGAAGCAGCATCTTTTATTATATAGGCTATTATTATTATTATTATTATTATTATTATTATTATATAATTTACCAAAGCTATTATTTTCTCCATCACGACTATCTCTGTGACGGTCTCTTCCTCCTCCTACAAATGTCGGTGTTTGTTGTTGTTGCGAATCTTCTGAATTGTGAGTACAATACTGAGCAATATGCCTAGAAGATCCACATTTGAAACATTCTTTATTGAATAGGCTATTATTGTTGTTATTATCGTTAGGATCATCTCTTGCAAATGCTGATGATGGTTGCGATGGTGATGGTGGTGATGGTGAGTTTTCATTATGAGCACATTTGCGAGTAGTATGATCGAGAGATCCGCATTTGGAGCATCGTTTGTTTAACGAATCAAACAATCTACCAAAAGTAATGTCTTCATTGTTATTGTGTCCTCCATTTGGTTTTTGTGGCTCTTGTAAGTCTACTCCGCTACGACGAGTACAATAACGAGTATGATGATCATGGGATCCACATGTATAACATTTTATTCCAAAGAATCTACCAAAAGTATTGTTATATTCATTGTTATTATGACCATATCCGTAATGGTCTCCTTCTACGAAATCTAGTTGTTGTTGCCGTTGTGAATCTTTTCCTTCGCGAGTACGAGCACAGCTACGAGTATTATGATCGGTGGATCCGTATTTGAAACATTTTATATGTGATGATCTATTATTATTGTGATTATTTTCATTATCAAAATTACGTTCATGTATATCATTATTAGGTTGATTATCATCACTACGATTTTCATTTTTGCAGAACCTAGTGCTGTGTTCAATTGACCCACAATTTTTACACCTATTATTTAATATAGGCTTTGGTTGAGTGCATTCACGAGTGAGATGACCTCGTTGCCTACAATTAAAACAAATTGGAGCAGAAAAATCATCAACTAATTGTCCAGCATCTGCCAACCAATCGAAATTTTCTTGTTCACTCTGTGCTCTAATACCAGCAGATCGCGGAAGGGTATGTGGCGGGATCATTATCAAAGATGCAACATATTTCTTTCCTTTGTTTCCCTGAAGATCGGCTATACATTTGGTTAAAGGAATTCCTTCTCTTTCAATTGCTATCATTCTACAATTACTCTTTACGTTTTTTAATTTCATTTCAATAGATTGAAAAGTCTCGTGGGGTGCTGCCTTGGTATATATTTCAAAAGCTTCATTGACTTCTTCAAGATCTTTTTTCGCGTCTGCAGCTAACAATTTATTCCAAGCCATTTTTGCTTTTTTTTCGTTTTCTGGACATTCAAAAGATGAATGACCTACTTGTTTACAATTGCCACAAAAATTTTCTTGGCTACTCTTCCTTCTGACATCTTGACCATAGTTATAATTATAGTTTCTTTTGGTACTGTCAGAACTACATCTTCTATTGTTATCACCTTGACTGTAGTTATTATTATAGTTTCTATCAGAACTACCTCTTCTATTGTTATCATCTTGACTATAGTTGTTATTATAGTTTCTTTTGGTGCTGTCAGAATTATTTATTCTATTGTGATCATCTTGATGATAATTATTACTATTGGTTCTATCAGAATTACTTCTTCTATTGTGATCATCTTGTCGATAATTATTACCATTGTTTCTTTTGGTGGTATCAGAATTACTTCTTCTATTGTTATCACCTTGACTATAATTATTAATATAGTTTCTTTTAGTGCTATCAGATCTATTACTTCTATTTTTTGCGCCCCAATAACCTTCATCATTTTTATTATCTAGATTGTTATCACTTGTATTTTTAAGTTCTGATTCAAATTCGGCAGCAATTTTCAACCAATAATCTCCGCCGTTTTGATAATTCGAGCCCCAACCATGATTATCTAGGCTCGTTGGAGATTCGATAAGAATAGAGGTATTGGCGAAATTGGCATCATCATCATCTAAATTATTGTTACTTGTATTTTTAAACTCGGGTTCAAATTCAGCAGTAGTTTTCGACAAATCACCACCATTTTGATCATTCGAGCCCCAACCATAATTATTTAGGCTTATTGGAGATTCGATGGGAATAGAGTTGCTGGAGAACTTGGCATCATCATCATCTAAATTACTATCACTTGTATTTTTAAACTCGGGTTCAAATTCAGCACTAGTTTTCAACAAATCACCCTCGCCATTTTGACCACTTGAGCCCCAACCATAATTATTTAGGCTTGTTGGAGATTCGATAGGAATAGAGTTGCTGGAGAACTTGGCATCATCATCATCTAAATTACTATCACTTGTATTTTTAAACTCGGGTTCCAATTCAGCACCAGTTTTCAACAAATCACCCTCGCCATTTTGATCACTTGAACCCCAACCATAATTATTTAGGCTTATTGGAATAGAGTTATTGGAAAAATTGGCGCCACAATTATCTAAATTATAATTTCCTGATATTCTTAACTCGGCTTCAAATTCTGCAGCTTTTTTTAACCAATCTTCATTGTTAGATTGATCAGTTGAACCCACTCGAAGTTCATTATCATTTATTTCATCATTAACTGATTGATAAGATGGTACCTGATGGTAATCTTCTTTAACTATTATCGTTTCAATTTTAATATTCTCAACTTTGGATTCTTCTTTGTTATTAGAGCCACTATTGGCCATATCAATGTCGTCACTGGTCTCTTGTGGTATCATTGCACCTGTAACATCATTATTGTTGCATAAATCACCACCACTTGAACTTAGTTCATGTTCAAAATTGGCAGTTTCATGATGATCATTTGAATCCTGTGCATCGCAAGCGTCTTTCGAAGATTTACTGATCATTTCAACATTAATTTCAGTATTTGGATTGCCATCGTTGCCCTCGTTTTCGCTGGGTATAAAGTATTCCTTTTCATTTGAAGATGTTTCTACAACAGCAGATAAACCGAAATCAACATTTGAGCAATTTAAATTTTTATTCGAGTCTGTGTCAACAGTTAAATTGATATTTACAAGATTATTTACAAAATTATTTACAACATTGCTATTTGTAATGATTTCAGGTTCAAACTGTGCATTCTGCAACATCATTAAAAAACTTTCTCGATTTAGCTCGTCATTACCAGATTTTATAAAATTGGTTAAATCGTTAAATCCATCACTTTCTATTTTATTATCAGCAATGATTGAAGCAATTGTTGCGCTGTTACATTCATTGGCTTCGATTTCATTATCAACGACAATTGGAGCAATGGTATAGTTTGAGTCAACATTGTCTTCAATAATAGATTTATTAATATCATTAATATCCGATACTGATTCCAATTCGGAGTTGAAGTTGTTGATATGTGGTGGGAAGTTTTGTTCTGTAACGTTGTCATCTACAATGTTTAAATCTATCAATGTGCTTGATATATCACTGCTAGAAATAACAACACTACCAACTTCCTTTTTTGGTTCTGGATCATCATTGTCATTCCTTTCACTGGAAATATCATCAACTTCCTTTTTTGGTTTTGGATCGTTACTAGCAACTGTTTCGAAGTTTGAATTATTGGCATTACCGCTATTATTATAATCATTATTAATATTTGTTTCGCTCGAAATAATATTATCGACTTCATTTTTTGGTTCTGGATTATTGTTAACAATTGATTCAACGTGTGGGCCAACATTACTATTTGTTATTTCAACTATAAAATCAACAACAACAGCAGGTTCAAGGACAGTTTCGGTAGACGAATCATATGATTCAATTGCTTGAGGTTTTTCGATGTTGCTTGACGATGATGACCCAAATACTTTAATATTTTTTGACGATAATGATTCGACAACTTGAAGTTTGTCAATGTTGATTATAGATAATAATGATGGCGTTGATGATGGTGATGACAACCTTTCATCATGTTGTGATTGTTGTTGTTGTTTCAGAGGAGAAAAAAGTAATGATAAATCAATGGGATCTGTTTGTATGCCAACATCGCGAAACGTTTTAATATCTGTATTTGTACCAATGCTTCTTTTCTTCACTTTGCTTGAAAGTATAAGATAAACAGCAGCAACGGGTAATAAGGGTAATAGTATAGAGTTAAATAGAAAGACTATCAGTCCGATTACTGACATTTTTTTTTGTGATGGAATTTATTTTTATATATTTAAATTTTCGCTGAAATTTGTTGGAAAAAAAATTTTTAATTTTTGTTAATTTTTGAGTTTGAGAATTAATAAGTTTTTATGAGAAAGTTTATTTTATGAGAAAAAAAAAAAAAGTTTTTTTATCAAAAGTTTTTACAAGAAAGTTTTCATGAGAGAAAAAAAAATTTATGTTTATCAATTATATCAATCAATTATCAAAGTTTGATGATAAATTTTTTTTGGAAATTGGAATTGAAACAAATTTAACATATTAGGTTAGAACAAGGTAAAAATCATGAGAAATAAAGAACAAATATGTAAGACTTGTAATGTAGTGACGTCGACAACTAACTTTACGTAATTAATGATACTTTGAAGTTTTCGGTAATTTTTTGTTAATTTACTATCATCACTTCATAAACATTAAAGTCCTTTATTTTTTTTTCTCCCACGAGAGCTTTTCTTCAATTATATATAAATTGTTGGCCATTTTGTCCATCTTTGTTTACGATATCTGTCTGTCGTTCCTCCTTCGTCGTACGACGACAATTATTACTATTTTTATACAACAATTGAAGAAAATCTGCGCGTCGAGAGTAAAACTATATATATATAAAAAAGGAAAATATGATGACTAGAGAAAAAAAAGGAAAATGATGATGTATTAACAAAGTAATTGTATTAAATAATACATAACCTATAGAAAAGTATGATAAATTTGTATTAAACTTTTTTCAATGATGATGTTATAAAAATAAATAAATTAAAATTTATTATTTCTTCAATTACTTTAATATTTTTTTTACCATTACTATTATTTTATTATTATTATTATTATTATTATTATTATTATGAGTAAAAATCCAGATTATAATAAATATTTTACATCAGCTTTACAAAAATTCACCAATAATAATGATGATAGCGGTAGTGGTAGTAACAACGTTCCATTATGCAAGAAAAAATACCTTAAAAGAAATTTTAATAATACTCAACCTGAACAAACAATCGGAAAGGTGATCACCACCAACAATAACACCGATACTTATAACTATAACAATAATGATAAAGATACTATTGACGATAATAACAGAAATAAAGATAACGTATCTAATCAAAATGGAAATCAAACCAAAGAGTCTCAAATAATTGGTTGTGATAAAAAAGAGAACAACATTGACACTAATACGACCACATTTGATAATACAGAGAACAACATTGACACTAATACAACCACATTTGATAACACAGAGAACAACATTGGTGAGCGGTGAACGTTACAATGACAAGTTATTTTGGCTTAAATTTATAAAACATTTGCTGATTATATAACACTTTTCTTCATCCTATTTTTTTTAAAAAATTTTTAAATTCCTTCATCATTGTTAATAATAATGTGATAAAAGGTGAAAGGAGAAGAACTAAACGTCGCTATAGGGAAGCTATTAAAGGAATAACTAAGCCAGCCATCAGGAGACTTGCACGTAGGGGGGAGTGAAACGTATTTCAGAACTAATTTATGAAGACTCTCGTAATATATTGAAAAAATTCCTCAAAACTGTGATTAAAGTATGTAATGTAGCAACAATGATAATAACACAAATATAATTATAGTTTGGACATTAATCATAATAATTTAAATTTTTTCATATCAATTATTTTTATTTCTTTTAGGACGTGGTTGTGTATACAGAACACGCAAATCGAAGCACAGTCACGCTATTAGATGTTGGTAAGTTAGTTTACAATGTATTCATTTTATATTTACATTAATATATAAATGTTACCTTTTGATCATATTAATTAATTCATTTATTTAATTTCTTTATTACAGTCTATTCACTAAAAAAACAAGGAAGGACTGTGTATGGATGGAATTAGTGAAAATTAATATAAATTATATCAAATATCCTTATGATAATCATCAATTGCTTATTTTTATAATTGCAAAATAAATATCAATATTCGTGGATCAAAGGCTTGTGTTTCACTAACTTATATTAAGTTTATAAAAATATTTGTGCTTCACACTTATCATTAGATCCTTGAGGTCTTATATTTACTAAAAATACTAATCATAACTCCTTATGACTTTCTGATAATACTATAATAATTACTTTTATTGTACTATGTATAATTCTCGATCTCTATTATAAATTGGTTTTACCTTTATATAGGAACAGTTCTACATGCAAAAATGAAGATAACAAATGGGACGACACATTAATGATGATGACTAAATTTTGATCCCTGAAAATCTTGGTAATACCAATGTTCACTTTGTCTGGTTTTGTTGCAGCATGCCCCACATAATTTCTAAACTATATAAAAAAATATATATTGAATCTCAGAATAATATTTAAAATCAGAAAATAAATAAAAAAATAAAATAATTTACCTCATAAAGAAATTCATTAGAAATATTTTGTGAATTATGTAGTTTTTTTAATGACACAGGTATATCCTCGCTAGTTCTTTCATTATTATAATTTATACTTTTATAACCATTTAACCAAGTAGCTTTAGATATAGTTGCAAACTCACCTTCACTTATCTTTTCAATATTTGTTAAATTATTATAAGGAATCCATTTGAGATGATTACTATAATGATAATATGTTGCTTTAAGTTGTGTACTTTTAATCAACTCATCTAATGTTTCATTGCCACTAGTCCATCCTTCAGTTAATAGCTTTGGATCACATGATTGACACCATGAATAATTAGTATTATATCTATTGCAGGTTGGACATTCCCCATATTCATCATCTCTTTCATCAAAATATTCATCATTTTTGTCAGTAGAAGTGTCATCATGATGCTTATTTTTATTTAAAGTGTTCCCCATCATGATTTTTGTATAATTTGTCAAAAAAAAATTTTTTTTTCCCAGCCACAAATATGTATCACAAAAATATATATAAAAAAAAAATTAAATTTTACCTGAGCTAAAACAATTTAGCATTGACACCCTAAAGTTGTAAAACTGTAATAAATATTGCAAGCATGCAATCTGAATTATTGGAGTCACCAAATCTGGAAAACTAAATTAAAATCACTAGATACAACTCAATGCTTGATTAGAGTTTCTATTTGAATAAACCCTTATTCAAATTATTTGTTTTACTTGCTATGATTTGAGTATTTGAATTACATTGAAAGTTTATTCAAATAAAATGAATAATGAATAATTCGATAATTTGATAATTCAAAAAAGACAAATAAACAAATAATAATTCGAATAATTTGAATAGTTTGAATAAAATGAATAAACAAATATTTTTAATAAATGATGACAACAATTCGAATAATAAAATGAATAAACGAAATAAAATGAATAATTCAAGCAAAACAAGTATTTGAATAAACAAATGATGATAACAATTCAAATAATAAATGAATGATGATAATTTGAATAAACGAATGATAATAATTCAAATAATAAATGAATGATACAATTCAAATAATAAACAATTCAAACAAAATGAATGGTTTGAATAATTTTGAACAAAATTTTATTATGAATAGAAACTCGACTCTAGTGCAGAGTCACTAAATCTGGCACAATAATGTTCAAACTAAACAAACTAAAATATACAACTACACTACTTGAGGCATCCCTCCCTATATACAAACAATATAGTAAAAAGGGTCCCTAACTAATAATTAAATGTTGGCCAAACCATTAATCACCAGAAAGGGTTATGAATCAATCAATCATGCCAGATTTATCAATTAATGAAAAGGGTTATTTTTATTGGTTAATTTTTTTTTTTCACTAAAGGAGATTTCAAACATATTTATAATTCTTGAAGTATTACAAATAACATGATTTTTGTCCAATAAAATAAAATAAAAATAGAATGATAAATGATGACTAATTGACAATTACTAAAGTTAAATGTCAAAAATGTGTCATTGATGATGTCATGAATAAATGATACCTGATGAAATGTTTTTGTCATAATTAATTAAAAATAAAATTTATATTCATTGAAATTTCAGATGGTAGTCAGCTTTGATTTATAAATGTTAACTCAAGTGTTGATGATAATTTGACTTCCTTGAAAATATTATTAAACAGAAAAATATGACAATGTGACTCTGGACACATTTGTATTGCACCAATTCATTAATGACATAGAAGATTTTGATGGACCTTTCTTTGAAATCAACACAGCTTTAACAGGACAAGTTTCTGGATTATTTTTTCAGGAAAATCAATTAATTAGCTGAATAAATCCTGAACTAGAAATAAATATGCTATTGATCCAGAATTAAAAGATCACAACAATCATGATTGCTATATTTGTAGTCCTACTCTAAGCCTAGAAACATCATCATCAAATCCATCATCTTTAAATAGTGTTAATTCTCAAAATAAATAATTTATGAGGAGGAAGTAGAAAAAGGAGCATTGCTTGAAAGTATTTCTTTAAATGAAACCTCATCAGAAGCTCAAGATGCTCAAAATCTTAATGATAGATCTAACTCATTACAGCAAGGATTACTTGCCCTCACCACTCCTCTCACCACTTTCAATGTCAATTTTCTTGTTTAACAAGTGCATCAGTTTCACAGATCTTAGTTGGTACTCAGAGGGTGCAGAAGAGAAGTAGTGGAATATCTGGGGTTACTAGGTATTGGAACAAAAGTATCATCAATTCAATTGCACTTAGCCTCCTCATTATGATATGTTTTCAATATTTGTCAGATTTGTGATTATTTCACAAATCCTGTGGACATCACATGTTGAAAATTTATACGGTCATTCCATATCAGCTGAGGGAACATGGTTCTCCATTTGATGGTTACAATGACCAAATTATACAATGTTTTTTCCATGATGGAATGTCTGCTGGTTTGCATTAAAAGATATGTTTTTTTCATGTAGGTAAGGCTGTGCATGTGGATCATCCCATGGTTTTGAAATTTGTCATGTTTGAAGAAATGCCCTAATTCAACATCCCAGGGTCCTTCCACAACTTGTTCTGGCATATTGTGATAGTGCAGGTAAATGTGCAATGGGTGATTGCTTGGCATGGTGTTGCCATTTTATGCAAGTGGGTCCTTTTGTCTTTGGCCATCATCAAAGTGTAGAAAATCTGAGGAAGCCTCTACACACTTATTTCTTTTTAAAAAGGGGGAGAAATGTAATGGCAAGGTTGTGATTTTTGACAGATGTTTCTCACAGTTACATTTTTGGTGGCCAGTATCTGGTTCTAATTTTGAAATTTTCTTCTTTTCTCAAAACATCAATGTGGCTAGTACCAATACAAGCATGACCTAGCTATTTATTGAAGGTGTTATTTTTTAATGCACTCATAGTGCCCTTTCCATTGGGGAAAACATCAAGGCTTCCAAATCAGTATACCACATAGTTTGTATCTTTGTTATGTATTTTTGGAGGAAAGAATCATTAGGACAACCAAATCTGGAGGATGGGGAATCTCTTCTGGAAGTTGACTGATAATGGTTCAACAAGTAAGTTAAATATGGGCTTTTTATTTAATAATATAGGTAGGTATATTTAAATTATAAATTTTAAAATTTTTAAATAATATATTGACAAGTACATCACTTCAACTTGTTAATGCCATAAAACATTGATTTGAAAATAAATTAAAAGTTAATGTGCATATTATGACATCCAAATTTCAAATTCACGCGCGTGAAATTCAAATTAGCCAATCAGAATTTTGTATTCAAACACTCACCCAAAATTTAATTAACATTAATATTAGTAAATTTCAAATTGACACAAATTTGATTTTCACACACAACATAATATCATTTTCAAAGATATTTAATATCACAACTATAGTAACCTGATAAATAAAAATAAATAATAAATAATTTAATATTTAATAAAGTGACAAGATTTAACTTATTCAGGTAAAGTCATCTAGTATAGTTAAATCAATTTGTTTAGAATCTATAAAATATTTATCACAAAAGTTAATTTTAAAATTAATAAATATGAAATAATCAATGATTGAATATTAATAATTACCATTATTACCAATAATTGTTACTTTATTGGAATTTACAGGTTGGGGAAGGTTTGTAAAATTTAATAATCTGCTAGTATAAACTGCATTTGGATGAATTACTGCAGTAATTGTTGAAGGATCAAATTTTATTTCATCCATTTTCTTAAACTCTTTTCTAATTGATTCATCTTCATTACCCAGTAGTGAATTATTCCAAATGTTAATAATCTCATAAATTTTTCCAGCAGTTAGGCGTTTATCTGGATTAGCATCCATGCATCTGAATGCTAGTTCAATATAGAATTTTGGAGTATTGTTTGAGAATCCAGGTCTTACACCTCTACATATTTCCATTGCAAGATATTCATCATGTGCCAAATTAATAAATGGTTGTTGGCCAGTTGATATTACAGACATCAGAACTCCAAAACTATATACATCTGATGCCATTGTATATGGTTTCTTATTTAAAACTTCTGGTGCAATATATGGTAGTACTCCACATATGTCATTTTTTTTTGATGATGATGTTTGACTAGATGTGCATGATAATCCTAAATCTGCGATATATGATTCCAATTTGTTTTTTTGAAGGATATTACCACTATGAAGGTCATGATGAATGATTTTTTTTTCATGAATATTTTTTAAACCTTTAATAATTTTATAAAGAATATTAATTTTGTTTTCCCATTTTAAATTTTTAAAATCTTTTTTTAAATAATTTTGAAGACTTCCATCTTCCATATATGCCATTACAAATATATATTCTTTTGTAATTGGATCTTGTGTTAATCCATAAATATGAATTATAGCTACTTTATTATGAAAGTTTGCATAATTTTTGAGCTAAAATAACAAATAAAATATTTAATTACAACAATAATAATGATAATATCTAAAAAATCAGAAAATAAATAGAAAAATAAAATAATCTACCTCATTAAAAAATTCATCAGAAATATTCTGTGAATTATGTAGTTTTTTTAATGCCACAGTCCTATCTTTGTTAGTTCTTTTATTTCTATTAGTATATTTCATACCATTTAACCAAGTAGCTTTGGATATAGTTGCAAAACCACCTTCACCAATTTTTTCAATATTTGTTAAATCATTATAAGGAATCCATTGAAGATAATCATAATTAGCATACTCAGTTGCTTTAAGTTGTGTGCTTTTAATCAATTCATCTAATGTTTCATTGCCACTAGTCCATCCTTCAGTTAATAGCTTTGGATCACATGATTGACACCATGAATAATCAGTATTATATCTATTGCAGGTTGGACATTCCCCATATTTTTTACCCCCTTTCTTTGAATATTCATCATTTTTGTCAGTAGAAGTATCGACATGATGTTTATTTTCATCCAAAGTGTTTTCCATCGTGGTATAATTTGTCAAAAAAAATTTTTTTTTCAGCCACAAATATGTATCACAAAATATATTTAAATTTTACCTTGACACCCTAAAGTCGTAAACTGTAATAAATATTGCGAGCGTGCGATCTGAATTATTGGAGTCGCAATTCTGGCAAACTAATTAAATCACTATAGGACTTTTATTCGAGTAAGGGTTTATTCAAATTATTTGTTTTACTTGTTATGAATTTGAGTATTTGAATTACATCATGAAGTTTATTCGAATAAAATGAATAACGAACAATTCGATAATTTGATAATTCAAATAAGAAGAATAAACGAATAAACAAATAAACAAATAAAATAAAAAATTCAAACGATAATTTAAATAAAGCAAATAAACGAATAATTCGAATAATTCGAATAATTTGAATAAAATGAATAAAACGAATAAACGAATAGTCGAATAATTTGAAATAATTTGAATATTTAAAACAAAGCGAATAGTTCGAATAAAGCGAATAATTTGAACAAAACGAATAGTTTGAATAAAGAATGACAATAATTTGAATAATAAAACGAATAAATGAAATAAAATGAATAATTCAGGCAAAACAAATATTTGAATAAATGAATGACAACAATTCGAATAATGAATGATAAAAATTCGAATAATAAACGAATAATAAACGAATGATTTGGATAATTCAAATAAACAATTAGAATAAACGAATGATAACAATTTCAATAAACGAATGACAATAATTCGAATAATAAACGAATGATTTGAATAATTCAAACAAAAATTTGTATTACGAATAAAAACTTTACTCTATTGCAGAGTCACTAAATCTGGCACAATAATGTTCAAACTAAACTAAAATCACCATATACAATTACACTACTTGAGGCGTCCCTAAAATCAATAGCAAAACTAATAAAAGGGTTCCTAATACTAACTAATAATTAAATGTTGGTCAATCCATTAATCATCAGAAAGGGTTATGATAGTACTATAAAACAATATATTTTTATTTTGTGTCATTGAACAAATGTCAAAGAACATATATATATATATTTTTTTTTACGAATATCGAAAAAAAGGGATTACCCTGGAGGAAGTAGAGATGAGTGGGATTTTTCATATATTAATATAAAAGAAAGTTTTTTACGTTCGTGTAACTTGAATAAAATAATAGAAGCAAGTGTCAAAATCTGTAATTTTTGTAATATGTAATTCTGCAAACACTGCATAATATATATAATAAACAAAATTTGATTTCCGACCACAAGTGTTTTATTTGTTAAACAAAAAAGAATTAATTTGTTTATTATTAAATGTTCGAATTATTTGTAAAAAATAAATAATAATAATAATAATAATAATCAATGTGTCGGCAAATCGTATTTTCTAACACGTGATCTGTCCTTACAATATGTAATACTAATAATAATAATACTAATATTGAATTTTACATAGAATTATAGAATATTTTTGAGAACTTTTTTCCGTATTAGTATTAGTAATACTTTCCATATGGCTTCCATACATGGAAAGTGGATTTTAATACGGAAAACACAATAATAGTAATAGTAATAGTAATAGGAGAATCTACTCCGTGCCATTTCCGTATTGGTATGTTTAAGTACGAGAGAAGTCACACGATAATAATAATAATAATAAATAATAATATATAGGATGGGAAGCATAAGAAAATTAAAACCGCGTTCAACGAAATTTATATGTGAAGCAAAAATTTTAAAAACTCATTATACGAATTTGAAAAAAGATTCGCCGAAACAAAAAATTTTCATTTGATTGATTTATTTATATATTAAATGTTTGGAGCCTTAATTATTCCCGAGTCATTTCTACATCAGGAATTCTTTCATTGAGTACGATTGTATTTTGCCGTGTATTAGTAACTTCGGAGATGAGCAAGTATTCGAATTGAAATAAGAATTTTGAATTTCTCAATTCTTTTAAGGTTAACAATAGGATTTATATATTTACTGTAAATAAATAAACATTGATTTTATTAAAATAATTCCAAGAACTATTAAACATGGTACAAAGAACATCAGGTGTGAGGAATTTATAGAATGTTCACATTCGACTGGGATATCAAATTGAACTAAAAGAACTTTGTACATCTAACATATTCTATTTCTCATGACTAATGTTGGAATTTGCTGTTTGTGGGTGGTGGTGACAAGAGAAGAAATTTTTTTACCATCTTTTATAATTATTTAGACGGGTCAATAAATGTGGTCGTAAGGCCTCACATTGGCATTAAAAAAAAAGAATGCATATTTTATCTTCTTATATTTATAATAATAATAATAATAGTAGTAGTAATAATAATAATAATAATGTTAATTTAATTTTTTACATATTTAGAATTCCAAGTTTCTCCTTTTATTAAGAAATAAACTGTGCTTTGATTTCCCATAATAATAAGGATGAATGGTTTTTACTTTGAGAATTAAACCGGTTTATAACAAGTTTGTGGTGATCTTGTCGTTAAAAAAAAGCGATATTTCGGATCATCCTATCATCATCATATAACCAAGCACATGTTGTGACAAATTGTCCGACTACCAATAATTACCATTACAATTTAAGTTTTCCCGTAATTCATTTATTATTATTGACTTTATTGTAATTAATATAAATATGTATGCACCGCATACATAGTTTATTTATAAGATATAAACAAATAATTAAAAAATTTGCACGCACTGTGCAATATTGTAAATATATATACAAAAATAAAATACATACAATATATAAAATAATAAAATTCAAGAAATTATACAATGTTTTCTCGATCTAATAAGTTTTTCACCGCCATTCAATAATATATATTTTATACCATTAGAACAAGATTTGTCTTTTCTTTTTTCTTCCCATGCAACCAACAACATTTCACATTTAACCGAAACCGATTTCAATGTATCTATCATATAATGTATACACGGTATATCATATATCGTCTCGTTTTTACCAACAAATTCGGCAGCGGCAGCGATGCTATTAGATTTTATTTTATTTTTTGAATAAAGTTTGCTTGACCATCGACCATTACTATTCGGGCACGAGTCAGTCGGTGTGATTAATTTGCCATTGGTTACGTGAAATGATCGTGTGAAAGGTTTTTCATCTGATAAATCATCTGCATCGTATAAATAGATTCTAACATCTTTCTCTTCTGACGTGATACCCCGACCCAAAATATGCTGCACAGGATTATTCATTGGTTTTGTTTTTAATAATGTTCCGTCACGCATTTTCAAACCTTCTAAATTATGTCTTTCCGGTCCTATTGTTCCCTTAGGTTGTGTCGTTTCCATTGAAAATAAAGCAAATAATTTCTCTTGATTTACATTTTTAAATGCTAAATCATAAACATGATTTGTTTGTGACATTTCTAATAAATCATATCTTGATAAATAAACCTGCGTGAATAAAAATTATTGAACATTTAGTTTTTATTTTAAAAAAAAAAATCGAAGGAAAAAACAAACCAACACAAACCAATAAACGTTTATTTGGATCTGAAAAGGTGGAATAAAATCTACGTATAACAATTCTTTTAATTTCCAAGTTATAAGTTTTTGATAAAGTGGCAAATTTACAAAGTTGCCTTGTTGGCAATTGTTCTAATATAAGTAATATAATTTCAAAAGGTAGTTTCAACATTTTTATTAAAAAAATTTTTAAAAAAAAAAATCTTCTAGTATCAGCATCCATTTAAATAGTTTTTTTTGTTTATCTTAAACACGGAACGTGAATTCTCCCTTGCATAACAAATGTTTTGGCAATTATTTCCTATTTACAAAATTTTTCATTTCTAATAGGTTTGGTGTGTTTGTTTATCGTACTGTATGAATTTCCCTTTGAGTACGTACATAATTACACAATCTTGTTTTTTAACGAATTAAAATTCCCCAATTTTAATATATAGTAAATCGTGCATACAATTTTTTCAAAATTTTTTTTGTTTGCCCAATTTGAATAAAAATTTTTTGCGCCACCGTAAAAATCAATTCTTGACTTTGATTGGTTAATACATTCATTCTTATTCATTAAATAGTGGGTAACGGAAAGCGTTAATATAGAAGATTTTAATATTAAAGAATGATATTTGATGTAACCCGAGACATGCCACTTTTTATCTTTATTAAGCGGAGTAATAAATAGTCAATGAAAATTTGTGTGATTTCATAATGTATAGTTATTTTTAAATGAGCTGAAGTTACCCCCATATAAAACACCCGTCATTGTATATCAAGACACCTTGAAATTCCGTATATACCGTTCCTTAAATTTCTTCCTAAAAATAAAGTAAAGCTTTTATTAGTGCTATAAAAATGTACAAATTTATAGAATCACCGAAGTTGTTATTGATAATGAATCTGAAACGTGGTCTTGATGATTATATATAGATATTGAAAAAAAACAAGCATTCTATCAGGTTTTGAATATTATATATACATTATATGTAAAATTGGTAAAAATCATATTCATTAATTTGCGAAATGTATAAATAGATTGGAATAATAGGGGAAATTGACTAATCGAGCAATGTATAAAATTCTCCAATCAATTTTTATTATTATAGATGTTTTGCACAAAAAATTTATTAATAATGGCTCACATATATAATTTTGTGCACTATAGAAAAATAAAAAGTAAATGTAATATAGTTTGGGTATTCAATATAAAGAAGAATTGGCTTTTGACAAAACAACTTCCTTCACCATATCATTGTATGGGAAGTTTATATTAAAAATCATTTATATCAAGCTGAATTTATATATAATGAAATTTCTCATCTTCATTATATCATATGATTCACTATATAGTAGGTTCACTATATTGAGTGTTGACTGTGCTGCACATCATGAACGCGAATTTTATGCACCGTAATCGAGTATTTTTGAATGATTGTTAATATGGTCTCTTTACGAATCCGTTAATATTAATATTAAAGATTTTTTTTCATCCGAATTGGTAACGGGTCAATTAAAATAGTAAGTATTATTGGATAATATTGATTTTTTAAAAAATCAGGTTTCATTCGTGTTCTTTTGTCTAAAAAAGTCTTCAATTGATGTAGGTATCGCGGTTTGTTGACGGATTAATGGGTTGTTAATAATAATAATAATAATAATAATAATAATAATAATAATAATAATAATAATAATAATAATAATAATAATAATAAT